CTATCTATCTATCTATCTATCTATCTATCTATCTATCTATCTATCTAATCTATCATCTACACACACACACACATATACAAGATTCTTCCTTCTGTCCTATATGATGTATGTAATTCACGTAGAAATAGGAAGTCATATTTTTATATGACATTGTTATCATTAAACATGTCTTTATTTTCTACCCTATAGGCAGGAAAATGGAATTAAAAGCTCAAGCTTCTTACTTCTTACTCTGTACGCCCCATTTTTGGCCTCCACGCATCCTGTTTTCAGCCTCTGCATGTCCTGTTTTTGGAGGCCAAAAACGGGACACATGGAGGCCGAAAATGGGGCACACAGAGGCCAAAAACAGGGCGGATGGAGGCAGAAAACAGGGCACGCAGAGGCGAAAAGCAGGACGTGCAGAGGTCAAAAATGGCCAAAGAGCCCACCTTTGACCGGTGGGTGGGTGGGGCTTCAGCAGTATTTGCTCCATAAGACACACATATATTTCCACCCACTTTTGGGAGAAAAAAACTGTATCTTTTGGAACGAAAAATATGGTAAATAAGATTCCATCTCCACCCTGTGTAGGCATTGGATCTTTTATCTAATTTGTTGTTAATGATATTTTAATTTTAATGCTTCATGTTTTAACTATTTCTAACTTTTTAATTGTCCAAATTGTTATTTATGATGCTATAAAAGTCACTTGATGGCGAGATGGGTGGCTTATAAATCTAATAAATAAAATAAGATTGTAGCATAGTGTATTCAATTGTAAACAGGAAAAGCTGCCAGTATTGCTGATATGTGCATCACACCAAACGAATTGCTCTCTCGACTGGGAGAGTTTGGGCAATATTGTCCAGTGAGCCTTGCAGAAAGAGAAGAACTTATTGATTGCTCCGATTCTCCTTCTCTGAAGTTTGCTGCAGAATTTCGAGGACACTACTACAAAATGGCTGGACAGAAGGAGTTAGACGTAAGTATTATATTATTAATCAGGAAAACAGATGCAGATGCAAAGAGTTGTGAGAGATTGTAGGGCTCGTTAGGCATGTACAAATTGAAATTTACTTGCGCTGTGGTGTGGCAAAGAGCCTTGTAGAGAAAGAGGTAGAGGTAGGGAACTGACTAGCAAGCACTGGACTCTCCAAAGATGTAGAGAACCTTCAGAAGATATTCTTCCCAATCTCTTGACCATTTGGGGAAGGGTTGTAAGTCAAGGACTACCTGCAGCCTCCCTATCAATACCATCTCCCTGTCCTCAAAGCTTCCTTTCAGAACAATGACGCTATCTTTGTTGTATATTTTAGCAATTCTTGAATCCTTCCCTCCCTCTTAATAATTTGATCGTTATCTTCTTAAATTATCACTGCATTGTTGTTCTATAGAGCACATCAAAGGACTGCTGATAAATATTCTGTAGTACTAAGTAGACAGTAGTTGAAAAAGAAACTCATAGAGTATAAAGTATGATTCTTCTTGTGAACTTTTATTTCTTTCAATGCAGAAATTCCTGAAAACTCCAGAATTATATGTTCCCCCCTTAGCACCTTATCCTCTTCCTTTACTAAATAATTTACCCAAAAGGCTGACTGTAGCAGATGTAAAAGCTTTATTTCCTATGCAAGCTGAACTGCAAGGCTTCTGCCCAGTTACTTATCTCGATGGAAAGCGAAGGTAAACACTCACATTTTCATTTCCATTAAATGTAATATCCAAAAACAATGCTTTGAAATATTTTTATCAAATGCCATCAATTGGACTGTCAGTATTTTTCAATAACAAAGACAATCAACTTGAAGCAAAAATAACCAGAACTAAAATATCCAAGGCAAACCTAGGACAGACCATAAAACTGTAAATATCTTAAAAAGTTAACTGATAAAACACTTTATGGAGCAACTGAAGCCTTTCCTTTTGCTTTTCTTTTGCAGTTTTTATGAGCCATTTTCTTAATCTTGCACTGAAGGAATTGTTTTTAAAAAAATGCTAAGTATTTGTATGTCTCATAAAATATATTATGCAAGTGTATCTGCTTACTTCATAGAAGTAAATTCCATCTTCACTTTGAGATGCATTTTAAACTGTGTTGCATTCGAAACTGTTTCTTTCTGTGTTGTTAAGCTTCCATTCATAGCTTTTTATATTTCACCAAATATTACAAACATGTTGGCCAAACACATATCCCAAAGATTATCAAACTAATACCTGGTGTCTAGAATATATATCATATTGTACATTACATTGTATAATATCTGTAATGTACAGTACAGTAATACACTCAATATAAATCTTCCTGAATAATTTTAGGGTTAAGGATGTGAGATATTATGGATTAATTCTTGAAAAATCAGTCTATCCATGCTTCTGGATTCTCATACAGTATGGCTGAATAGCTTTTGTTCTGTTTGTGCTCCACAAAAACGATGAAGTTACATATAAAATCATACATTGCAATGTCCTACCTGTCAATGAATACTTCAGCTTCAGTCATAATAATACAAGAGCACACAATAGATACAAACTCAAGGTTAACCGCACCAATTTTGATTGCAGGAAATATGCCTTAAGCAACAGAGTGGTCAATGTTTGGAATACTCTACCTGACTCTGTGGTTTCTTTCCTAAACCCCAAAAACTTTAACCTGCTTAGACTGTCTACTATTGACCTCACCCCTTTCCTAAGAGGCCTGTAGGGGGCGTGCATAAGCACACCAATCCCTGTCCTATTGTTTCTTTTTTAATTTTTCTTATATGTATCCATTTCATGTATTCATAACTATGTTTATACTTATACCTGTTATCTTGTAAGCGATTGACAAATCAAATAAATAAATATAGCCCAGGGCTGATTCCAGAGCTGACAGATACAGGACTGCAAAGTCATGTACAGAAATGTTGAATACTTGCAGTACAAGTAATTGGGACAACTTTTGAAAAGGGTTTGAAAAACAGTGCTGGTTGAAAAGAATAAATCCTTTTGAAAAACATTCACTGGCTAAAATTTTGATCAGAACCAATTACTTGAAGCATGTGAACCTTCTTTTAACTTAGCTAACTGGTTTCTGGTACATTTCTATACTCAATTCAAAGGCTAATCATTATCTTTAAAGCCATAAAATAATTTTAAGGGTCTTATATTTTAAGGATAATTTCCTGACACAATTTGAAACAGAAAGGCAGGGCACAGTTTAATATATAGATATATATATTGCTCTTCTTTTGAGGTATGAAGCTCTGGTACCTGGGAACATTGAATATGCTGTGCTTTATCGCAAAAAGCTATATATTTTTGAAAATGAAGAAAAACTTCAGAGGTTTATGAGGTATGGAATGCATTAAGTATCTTCATATCTATATATTCCGCTAGGTTTAAATTTTGCTGACCTCTCATTTCTGTATTCTTAGAAAACCAGAAAAATATTGGAATCTTACACTTCCACATAAGCTTCCCCCCTTAAAGGAACCTATAGTGTTGACAGCTCTTCCTCTGACTGGATATCTTGAGCAGGTTTTTTTCTTCTTGTTATTTATAGTCAAATTTAAATATTTATTTAGATTCTAATCAGTGTTAGCTATACTTATACACATTGCAAAACTCTAGAACAATTTTTCTAAAACAAATGGATCATTTTCATTAAAACGCTTCCTATTTCATTAGTACACCTTGAGACTAAATTTGATTTGTGATGCACAGAAATATGCCATGTATGTCCCAGAAGCTAAGACTCTGTGATCAAATCAAATCTGCATATTTATAATGCCAAATAAGTTAATTATACATAATTATTTCCTAAGTCACCTAGGACCTAGATTGGCATACACTAAGGATTGCTTGGCAATCCTGTTTGACCTTCCACTCAAATTAATCAAACCTATCCAAATTTCTGAACTCTCAACAAATACACATTGAGCTCTTTAACATATGATGATATTATCCATTAACTTGTATCCAACTCTTAGTGATTCCAGGTCTCTCCACATCATTTCATCTTGCACTACTATTTTGATTTTTTTTATGCTCTGACTGGTGTCAGCTTTAATGGTGCTTAGTCACTTTTGTTCTTAGATGGCCTAGTTTCCTTTTACCACTAACTTTTCCAAACATAACTGCTTTCTGCAGTGAATTTCCTCACATGATATAGCCAAAGTAAATGAGACATATACTGTATCTTTAATATACATCTAAAAGTATTTTTTTTAAAAAAAATCAAATTTCAGAAACTGCATTGTCCCTCCGTGAAGCTCAGTATCAAGCAATGTACATTATAAAGCTTATCTATGAAATGACATCATGATACTAAACAATTAACATTAAAAATATTTTATCCTAAAGGGTGTGGCTACAGCTTTAATAAAAGCAATGAATGCAGTTGGTTGCTTAAAGCCAAAATTTCCATACCTGAGTGTGAAAAGGACTGCTTTGCTATTCATAGCCTATCATTTAAAAGGTAAAGAAAGGAAAAGAGCACTATTGTTATAAAAAAATAGTTATTTCTATAGTTAACTGTAAAAACATTCAGATTGAGCACTAACATAGGAATTAACCCAACGAAAAAACTATTAATAATTTTCCTGATAGGTAGAATAATGAAAACAAAGGAACATTTAGGCAATACCAAATCCATAGTATGAATACTAGCAAGCAGACCATTAAGGGGAAGAAAATAATGCAAGAGGTGATCTAGTTAAGTGCAGAGTTCCCCAACTTTTCCAGCTTTGCTGAACCAGCAGGAGAGGGGAGAGAGGGGATGGTTCCGTGTGAGTGGCTGGCATGTAAATGGACTGTGCATGCACACACACGCCCATTGTTCACATGTGGGGATGCAAGTCTGCGCTTGCCTGCCATTTCTGTGGCTCAGTTGGAACAGCTCATAGTCCACTAATGGGCCGTGCAACCATATCAAAAAATATGGTTGTGCATGAAATTGATAAGAAGTAAAACTTGTAGGTATTTTATCTGAATTTGTAAAAAAAATGATTTTCTCTTCTCTCTACCAAATAAAAAATAGAAGGGAAAAGGATTTCCTCTTAATTTTACCGTATTTGTTTCCTCCATCCCAAAAGTTAAACCCACTATAATTTGATGACATTTACTTGAGCAACAATTGCTTTTGTTTTTATGCTTTTGGTTCATACTTGTAATTTTTTATTTATTTATTATATAGATTGTATTTAAAAACTAAAAATAAGAGCAGCAGTCTTATGCCTTTAAACATGGATTTTTAGCCTGTTAATGTGTAAGGTGGTATGGAGAAAATATCTGAAAAAACAAGCAAGTGCTGAACTATTTTTATTCCTTATACTCATTATCTATTTTTCTTTACTTTCAGCACTTTTCTCATAGCAAGACCTCAATATTAGACATTACCACTACAGTAGTTACTGTTGTAAATTGCCAGAGGCTGGTTTTCCTAGGAGTACATGGATGCAAGTTTTAAAAATAGTTAAATAAACATCTAGTGAGATATTGGGAACTACTGAAACATAGTATGTGCATGCCTTCTATGTGACTTGGGATATTGGAATAATAGTAATGTGAATTCTGAAGTATGGATAATTAATGGTATTTAATTTCTTGCAGCATATAACCCTAACAGCCCAAACTATATACGAAAGAAGTATAAAATGAAGTTGGAACGGTTCATAGACCATTGTGAACTTCTTCCATACCTAGGCATCAAAATGACAAAGAAGTACAAGGAGCCTCAAAATCGACCTATTGATTTTGATCACAAGTTACAGATTTTCTTGTCTCTCAAAGATGTGGACCCATTAGGGTGAAATATTGCAAAAATCCTGGAAAGTGATATATTCATATTTGATTGTTAAATTATACAAATATGGTTGTTTGTATGGCTGTTTTTAGATCCTGCCTAACTACAGAACGGATCAAGATAAGCTCATTTCACTGGCTTGTTGCAAGTCTAAATAAAGCAACACTGTAGTTTCCTATAGTATGGTTTGCAAAATGCAGTTTGTAAAACTGATAGTTTACAAATATATTTGTAAATTGGCTTATAGTACTAATTTTGCAAGGAACTTAGTAAATATTGTTTTTCATAAGTCTACTTCTAAGAAAATGTTTATAATTGTTGGTATATTAATATTTTTCAGTGATTAAGGATAGTACTTTAACTGCTATAAGCTATTTGCTAAATCATTATTGTTTGACATTACTGTACTTCAATATCTGGTGTGTTTATTTAAATATAAATATCAGATAATTTGAGATAATATATTTCATAAATGTGAGATAGTATCTCAGCTTTCAGCTGTTACTGTAGTGCTTTAAATTTGTTCATTTTGAAATATTAACTTCTATATGTAGTTATTTGAAAGAATCCACATTCAGGTCGTTGCTATTGTTTCTTCCCCACCCAGTTCTAAATAAATATGAGTAATCGCTTTATTTTACACTTTTGAATAGTTTGACAGTAATCTCATTCCACTGTGTATATCCTTTCAGCAACTCTATAATACTGAGCACAATGGAGCAATACAGTCAGTTGCATATTTTTGCCCTATTTACCCTTAGTAGAATGGAAAACTTGAAAAATTCTGAATGAATATTTATTATAAACAATGTCTTTTAAAACAGTGGTTTTTTAAATGGCTTGTCTTTATACCATGTTTTCTTCACCTCAGTGGCTAATCAGATTAGCAGTTGCTTTAGACTTGTCTTCACTGAGATTGGTGTACGAAGTCTGTGCCATTTTGGCAAGTAGAGACTCATATAGTTGAATATTCTTCAATTCAAACATAAATCTTCCATAGGAAAAACCAGATGGCATGAAGAAAACATTATCGATATTTCTATTTGAATCCTGCATATTAGCAGTTATATAACTTCCCCTTCAATCTGAAATAAAAGGGTCAACACAGACACAGAGCTCTATTAATCAGTACTAATGACACTTGGGGGTCAGTCAACTGAATAAACCATTATGACTGTGTTGTAGTTCATTTAACCATAGTTTACTCAATAAAATCAGTACCAACAAAGAAGAATATTTGTAGCTAGAAATTTCCGGTTTGTCGGCTTCGGTGACAGCAGGGATTCGCTTTTCTCCGCAATCCCTGCTGTGCTAGCCGCCTTGGTGCCTCCGATCCTGACAGATTTGGAGGCTAAGGCTGCCCTGTTGGGGCAGCTGAAGAAAGGGGGGGTCCGGACAGGGATTGAGGGATATCGCAAACCCCCTCCCCAGCCGGCAATAACCCCCTTCTCTCAAGACGGTGGAGCGGCAGTCTTAATGGCTGCCATAAAAAAGCCGGCAACTGGATAAAGAATGTGCAGGAGGAAGAAGAAGGAGTTTTAAAACAAAAGTTTTTTCTTGGTCGAACTGGGACCTTAAGGACATATTCAACACCTGGGAAAGTATTGGCTTTTTTCTGGATGCTATAATGTTCCCAATTGATGTTTTCAGCGGCGAAGAAAAGTGATGAAAAGGGAAAGTTATTCTCCCTCCCTTATGGAATTAACAAATGGACAAGGGAAACCTGCCTTTTGATAGAAGGTAAAACCTAAACTCCTTTGTTATAAGTGGGAAGGGAGAGGCTTGGAAAAAAAAAATTTTACTCTAAGATTTTGCTGGAGGAGATGCCTTGAAGATAAAGAGAATAGAAATTAATTCTAAAAAAGATTTAAAGCACAGACTGGACGTTTTTTCTTTCCCTAATTTGACTTCACCCCTAGAAGAGAAATTGTAAAAAGAAGAAGTTTGTACTCTGCCTGGACTGTTTGATGATAACAGGATTTTGGGACTTTGGGGAACTGTTTTAAGTTTGGAAATAACTGATTGGCTTAATAATAAGAAGAGGATACAGAAAAAGAAGAAGAAACAGTTTAAAATGGCTCTATCTCTTGATGAACTAAAAAAACAATATTTAAAAATAAGGAAAGAAGGCAAAGATGTCATGGGAGAAGCCCTTTGTTTCCTAGATATGGCGTTTGTCATGTGTCAGCAAATTAAACAACAGCTAGAAGAAGCCGAGGAAGAAGAAGCCATTTTTAATGAACTAAATGGTGTGACTAAGAAAGAAAGGAGAAAGAGAGGAGCGAAAAGGAAGGACTTAAGAAATAAAAAAATACTTATGAAAGAGAAAAAGAAGATGCAAAAACAACAGAATGCTAGAAAGCAAAAGGAAAGAGGAATGCAACAGAAAGGGGAAACCAAGAAGGCAGAGGTTTCGAGAGGAGGGGGTAAAAAGTTTAGACGGGCTAAGAAGGAAAGGGAAAAGGGGGAAAAAAGTTACAAAGGTATAAAACAAGATGGAGAAAAGAAAAATCTTTTTAGGGATAATGGGTAATGTATGGGTTTTATTTTCTTAAAATAAAGGGGGATTCTGCAAAGTACACATGAGTATTGTAATAGTGGTATTTGTATTATAAGTAGATAATCAGAACTTTTTAAGATCTAATAAAAGACTAAAATATTAAGGTATAACTTTAAAATGTTTAATAATGAATGATTTTAAGTTTTAATAAAATACTAAAGGGAATGTTTAAAATATTAGTTTAAATATAGAGTTTAATGGATTAATGTGTTGACTGTTATGGATTTATTATTGTAGTATTGGTTTCTGAAATAGTAGAATGTACTAAGCAGAATCTGATTGGGATTTAGGTGTTATTTTAAATTTTAATTTAGGGGAATGGTAGAAAGGCATCATACACTGATTAGTGATTCCAGGGGAAACTATTCTTTTTTATATTGGAAATGAGACAGATGTAAATGGAGAAATGGACAAAAGATATAAAAATATTTTTTTTAAAGCAAGATTAAATATATAAAACAGAATTAAGACGAGGCAAAAGTGGAGAGGAGTTATATAATAGATATAGAATGGTAAACAAGATAGGTAATGGTATATAAGAAAAGCATGAATTCAATTGAAGTCCATACAAAAAGAGGTAATCTGGGGCCAAGTTACTTTCTAAAAGAAAGTTTTATGTTTTTATGTTTATGTCTTATGTGTGTGTGTCCAATTAAGAATTAAATAATAAAATCTCGGAGGAAGACTAGATGAGAACAATTATAAACAAGCCAGAGGAAAATATAAATGTGATGATTGAATAGCAGATAAATTAGAAAGGAAATATGATTGAATAATGATTAAAGAGAAACAATGTGGAATTTGGTAAAGGGAATTTACGTGTTTATATGGAAATGGGATAAATTATAAGTATGTGATATAAAGCAATGTGTTACCTGCCTTGTAAAGATTTACAATGGAAAGAGGTTTTATGTTTTTAATGTTTAATGATGTTTTGTTTTGTTTGTTTGTTTGTAAAATCAATAAAACTTGTTTTTTTTTAAAAAAAGAAGAATATTTGTAGCTCATGGTTGAAATGAAGGTTCCTTGGTGCTCTCTGAATTTGGTTGCTTTCTTGCAGACGTTTCATTATCCAAACTAGTGCTAGTAGCACTGGTGAAGTTACCTAGCTTGGCTAATGAAACGTCTGCAAAAAAAAAAAAAAAACAAGCTCAGAGAACACCAAGGACCCTTCAATTAGATCAGTTTATGTATTTGTCCAATACACCGAGCCATAAGCTAACAATGTAAAACCAGGGGTGTCAAACTCAATTTCATTGAGGGTTGCATCAGGGTTGTGTTTGACCTCAGGGGGCAGGAGTGGATGTGGCCAGGGTGGGGGTGGCCAGCTCGATGTCCTTCGTGTCGGGGCACCTGTGACGGCCCAAGCGCTCTGCCAGCAAAAACAGTCTCCCGAGCAATGTTTTCAGCTACGACAGCCTCCTGCAACCCTCTGCCAGCGAAAATGGATCTCTGTTTTTGCTGGCAGAGGCACTGCGGGCTGGTCCTTCTCCATTTCCAGGGTGGCCCCAAGGGCCAGATCTAAGCAACCCGCAGGCCAAATCCAGCCTCTGGGCCTTGAGTTTGACACCCTGATGTAAACAGGTTTGTGTGACATATTAAGCTAAAATGTCAAGAGCTAGTTTAATAAATTGTTAATTAGCAAATGACTCATTGCTGTTTGGTTGTTGCAGTACTTGCTGAACTGGCAGTGGAAAAGCACATAGCAGTTTGATGAACTTTCTCAGTCATACAGAACCACTCTGGAGTGGAGGCACATATAAAAAGCAGTAAAATAAAACCCATCTGAAGATACTTGGCAAAAAGTCAACAGCAATTCAAATGTATCTTAGGGAACTAAATTTTAAGTGCAACTCAGATACCAAACCGATAATTTTTCTAAAGATTTTCTAAAGTCAGCAGTTGGGAAACACTTTATCTTGTGCATCAATTTTTTTCATTTGTTTTCCTCAGTAAAACAGTAAAATGTCCTAAATGGGCATGGTGTCAATCTGGAAACCCTTTTAAAGGGGGGAAATCTTCCCCTAAAATGGGAAAATTTGAAGTGTCCCTTACTGCTACCATTTTGGTTACAAATGCCCCACTGCAAATCACTCATACTCCATGTGTCTGCCATTCCTACTGCCAAGAATATTTTTGTACTTACATGCCTGCCATCCCAATACCCACTGGCCCATCTTCAAAGTTTGTTATTGAACATCCTAAGTAAAAGGTGTCAGCTTGGAGAATCCCATGAGATCTCCGCCTACTGTCCCAAAGGTGCTTTTTCAAAAGGCAACTGGACTTCCTGTGTTTCTTCTCTTGAAGACATTTTCCTTCTCAGCCAAGGAGCATGACCTGGATGACTGAGAATCTTCAATAGCTATGGTTAGAATTTCCTCAATGTTTTCATTCAGTTTGGAAAAAAATCAATGTGTTTGGCAAAAAAGTAGATAGCCTTGCTGGGTGAGATACAGAGTCCTTGCACTCCAGATTTTGATCAGTATTATTTTCAAAAGCCGTGGTGGGGCAGAGGTGATGTGGTGGCACAGTGATTAGAATGCAGTATTGCAGGTT